TTTTGATGGGTACTTGGTCGTTTAGACCTATCTAGGATACCTCCTCCCACCTGCTCTCCGCCGTGTAGAATGTGTCCTCTGTTCATAACACTTGGCTTTTTCTTTTCTCTCTCTCTCTTTTTTTTAACCAGGAATTTGATATATGCGACAGCCAGTGGGGTCCCCTGTGGTCTTGACATTTAATAAAAACTTTTATGAGGCCAGACCAAGCTTAACGCAAAGCAAAATGTAACGTACCGTTTCCCAGATAAAGCCATTATCAGTTCAATCCCTTTACATAGTGTGTCCCCAACCACACTCTGCCCCACCTGTGACGGTTCTACACATACCTAAAATGTGTGGTCGTTTCATCTGAGACGGTAGTATTGAGGAAAGGTCGATGTAAGGTTATAAAAGAGGAACCCGGTCCCTGTTTCCCTCTTTTCCTCTCCACTACGAGCGGAGTCTATTGAAGAGGAGTCTCTGAAAATGAGAGATGATGGATGTAGAGACCCACGCCTGGAATTCCAGCAACTGAAGTGATTGAAGCAGAAGAATCCAGGCAGAGCTTGTAAACATCTCCAGCGTCTGATTTTGTTGTCGGCGTGTGTGTTTTGGTTTTTCTTTCTCAGAGACTTTCTGGTGCACCTAGACTGTTCCAGCTCCTTACAGCCTTCCTTCAGCTTTCCAGCTTCTCTCCTATGCAGTCTCTGCTCCTAGCCTTTCATAATTAATAGACTTTAAAAGTTATAAACTCCAACAAATAAAAGTCTCCCTGGATGGCTTCCTATGCATTCCCCATGGTGCTCATTTTTCTGTTTCAGGCACCAGGAAGCTGAGTAGCACCATAGGTGTTTCCAACCAAGCATAGCAGCATAAAAATGGAGTGATTAAATGTATTAAGTTTGAAGCATATGTTGTTATGTTATATTTATTTGCTCCAGTGTAATTGTGCAACATAACATGGGCCAGGGCGTTACTAAATGCATGCTGTGATTAGTTTTTCTCAGCTTGACATAAGCTAATCGTCTGGAAGAGGGGACCTCTGTTGTGAAAATACTTGTAGGCAAGTCTGTGGGAGCTTTTACATAATTAACGATTGGTTGGAATGGCTCAGCCCACTGTGGGTAATGCCACCCTTAGGCAAGTGGTTCTGAGTTATATAAGAAGCAGGGTGACCAAACTACGGTGAGCAAGCCAGTAAGCAGCACCCCTCCATGTTATCGATTTCGTTTTCTGCCTTCAAGTGGCTGCCTCCTTGCTTTAGTTTCTGCCCAGGCTCCCCTTATGATGAACTGTGTGATCAAGACATTTAAGTTAAATAAACTCTTTCCTCCCCAAGTTGCTTTTGGTCATAGTATTTTAACACAGTAATAGAAACCAATCTAAAACACATATCAAAAGCTTCTTAAGTTTCGTGTCTCATGCTTTTGCATTCACTCTTGATTTTCCACGTTTCTAAGGTAAACTGGGCAACAGCTCTGCTTCAGGATGGTACTGTCCGTCTATGGTATCGCTGCCATTTCCATTTTAATAGAGAGAGGAGCCCCTAAAGAGAGAGGGTAACACGGTAGGACAAAGGCCGTGAAGACCTTAAAAGACTTTCCTGATGGTTACCTGCATTTCAAGTAAATCAGAAAATAGAACAAAATAATCAGCTATTTGATAAGTCAAGCAAACTTTATACCTCCCTTCGATAGCTCAGTTGGTAGAGCGGAGGACTGTAGAATAGTTGTTGGTATCCTTAGGTCGCTGGTTCGAATCCGGCTCGAAGGAGGTGTCTTTTAATGCTATTTATACCATCAAAAGATAGTATAAAATACAACAAGAACTTCAGTACTAATTAAACAGTCTTTACAAGTTCATATTTGGAAGAGAGTCAAGTTTATGCCTCTGAAGTACATTTAGCTTAGAGCTTTCATTTTAGTGAAACGATCTTTTATGGAGCTGTTTATATGTACAGGCATCTTCTCATCGTTACCCCTTCTCATGATCCAGTCTGGATTTCGTGAAAAGTAACTGCGTCTGGCAGTTCAAGGGATACCTTAATCGCTTTATTTTTTGTATTGTACAGCACAGCACGTGCGGTTTGTTTATTTTACCCTAAATTCTACAATTTAAGTATTTCAAGTGACATAGGTTCACTGAAGTGAGGTAGGTTCACTGCATTCTCCAAATTTTCTTGAAAATCCTAGGATTGTCACCATGGTGAGACTTTTTCAAAAGACTATTCCTTCGAGCCGGATTCGAACCAGCGACCTAAGGATCACTATATCAGTACTCTACAGTCCTCCGCTCTACCAACTGAGCTATCGAAGGAAGTTGTTATAGATCTCTTTAACATTTGTAAAAAATATATAAACACGCTAGAAACATTTTTATACGTGACATAATTTATAATATCCAAACCTTTCATATATTCCATAAAAATATCCCCGGATGGCTCTTTGTTTTTCCTAACAGATTCATTTTCTCTCTTAGGATCAGGAAACTGAATGGCACTGTAGGTATTTGCTAGCAGAGCATGACAGCACACTTAAAAATGAGATAGTTAAACTTTTTGCGAGAGAGAGAGAGAGAGAGAGAGAGAGAGGGAGAGAGAGAGAGAGAGAGAGAGAGAGAGAGAGAGAGAGAGAGAGAGAGAGAGAGAGGTTTCATTTATTTGCCCCACTACAATTGTGGAAAATAATATGTACCACTCCTTTCCTACTTGTCAAAGGCCTCTCAAGTTTTCTGTGTCATGCATTTGTGTCTACCCCTGGTTTCCCTTGTTCAGAAAGGAGAATCACGAGTTTCCTTGAAGTAGGCAATAGCTCTGCTTCAGGATGGTATTGTTTGTCTATGTTACCATTTTCACTCATTTTTAATAAAGGAGGTGCTGAGACTGGACAGCACAGCAGGGAAAGGGTAACAAAGGTAGTGGACGGTCCTGTCTGGAAGGGCTAGTGAACATTCTTAGGAGCAGTTGTTGGAAATGTAAAACACTTATACATTAAAAGCATTAAACTCAAACGTGTTCTTAAACACCTGTTATGGGATCACTAGCTAAAATTAGTTTTAGAATATCCTGGTGTCCCAAAAAACATTTTCTCGTATTTCAATACAAATCAGAACAAATCCACCAACTATTTTACAAATGTTAAAGAAAGGCTAAATATCTCCCTTCGATAGCTCAGTTGGTAGAGCGGAGGACTGTAGAGTGCTAATGGAGTGATCCTTAGGTCGCTGGTTCGAATCCGGCTCGAAGGAGTGACTTTTTGGTGGTAGGAATCCTAGAATTTTTAAGGAAATTTGGAGAATGTAGTGAACTTAAGTCACTTAAAATACTCAATTGTAGGATTTGAGGTAAGATAAACAAACCTTAGATGCCGTACAGTACAAAGAAGTAAAATGATTAAAGTATCCCTTGAATTGCCAGAAGCAGTTATTTTCCACGAAATTCAGACTGAGTCAGTATAAGGGTTAACGGAGAGAAGATTCCTTGCACGACTATTTCTCAAGTTCATTCACTGACGACTCAATGATTCTTCACGATCCTCTCTATGCTTACCTACAAACATTTCAAAGGGTCTCTCTTGTAACCCAGGTTGGTCTGGAACTTCCTTTCTTTCCCATCTCCCAAGACCTGAGGATTACAGAGTTGCCACTACTTCCAGTTTACTTGACATTTAATGTGTATAAATATTTCATTAACAACAATTTCAAGCACAAAGTAGAGAAAGCATCAGGTGTTGCCACTTAGCCGTCACACTCTTGTATCTTCTCTACATGTGCCCCTCCCCCAGCTCTCAATGTTTTGAAGTAACTTTATAAGACGCTCTCAAATGTCACCATTTTTAAAAATGAAAAGTAGGGGTCTTTTCTCGCCACACTCACTTTTAATAAAAGGAGCAGAGGTAACCAACAGCAAGTTCTCTTCAATGAAAGTTCCCAAAGTCAGGTTTAGTTATTAGGTCCTCAGACGCACTTGAGCTTTACAAATTGGGTAACACCCAGAGTCTGCGGACACGGTTGCTCTGGCTTCTGTCTTCTATAATTTTCGTGACGATAAAGGATGAAAAAATTTATGTAGGGCCTTGGTAAGGGAAAAGTTAAGTCCCCAGGGTCATCTTAGGCTCTGTCAGTAAAGCAGGAGGGAAAGCTAGTACATCATTTCTGGCAGCATCGCTCGAGAGTCAGCAGCAGCTTTTAGGAGCCTGAAGCATAGCTGTGGCCACTGCGCTGGTCCCAACAGCGAGACCTTACCTCTTAGCGACGCAGGCGGCCAGCTGGTGTACGGACCGCGCCCCCTGGCGGCTGTTCCGAGGCTGCACGGGGCAGTGAGCTGAACTGAGAACTGCTACTCATCCATCAACTTGCAAAAGATTCGAACACAACAGTCAAACAAGCTTTTTACTCATACGTTTACAGATTTAAATATTCACAAGGTAAAGTGTAGAATTACTAAAGGCGCGTTTAAATTTTTAAAACCGCAAATCCAATTAAAATTCCAAAAGTATATGTGCAAATTTATAAGCTGCTTCAAAAACTTTTTTAAATGTTTAAAACTCAGTTGAAACTTCAAATAATTAAAACTTCAAAGGTCAGACTAAAGTTTACAAGTTGCACTTCATAAAATATTTTTTAACGTGTGAGTTATCCCTTCAACCACATTCGCACCACCGTCCTGGAAGAAAATGCTGTTTTGGTCTCTACAACACACTCTCTCAACACTGTTCTGAAAAAATCCCGCGAGAGGCACTAAGGCACGCTCTTGGTGCCTGGAGGCAAAAATCATTCATACGCAGTTTTTTAAAAAATTAAAAAATATTCCGTGAGAGCTTGCCTCAGATCAGGGTTACACACACGACAGAGGTTCTACCAGGACTTGCGGCTCTCAGTCTGAGGGGCTTGCCCCGCCCCGGCCCGTCAGCCTCGTCCCGCCCCATCAGCCTGTCAGCCCCGCCCCGCCGTAGAACGGCACCCAGGATTTACGTCACTTCTTGGCCCGACCTTCAGATTGGCTCTCAGGATGTGCGTCATCAGATAGCGACAGATCTACGGCTGTCGCGCTCCGCATAGCTCCCATGGTGAAGGCAAGAGAGTTGGTGGAGGAGCAAAAGGCGGCGATGGAGGAAGAGGAAGTGCTGAATGCAGAGGTGGTGGAGGAGCAGGAGGGGCCCGAGGAAGCGGCTAACAGCAGCAGCAGCAGCAGCAAAAAGAAAAAGATAGTTCCGGGTATTGTGTACTTGGGCCACGTCCCGCCGCGATTCCGGCCCCTGCACGTACGCAACCTGCTCAGCGCCTACGGCGAGGTGGGACGCGTTTTCTTCCAGGCCGAGGGTAAGTCCTGCGTCAAAAGGAGAGGGTGGCGATGCCGGCAGGCGGGCACGACCTATTTTCTTGGCAGTACATGTATGGGGCTTGGGGTGCTGGCTCTTGGAAGGCTGTGGCTCCCTACTAGCTGTAAGTATGCAGCACTCATGTCCCTTAGGTGCCAGGGGCGGGGAAGGAAAATGGAAAGGGTGAGTGGATACAGATAGTGCTCTAAAAAGGCCTGAAAGATACCCTCGATTTTTTTTAAAAATTTATTTATTTACTTACTTATTTTTTATATGTGTACACTGTAGCTGTCTTCAGACACCAGAAGAGGTTATCAGATCCCATTACAGATGGTTGTGAGCCACCATGTGGTTGCTGGGAATTGAACGCAGGACCTCTGAAAGAGCAGTCAGTGCTCTTAACCACTGAGCCATCTCTCCAGCCCCCTCGATTTTCAAATAGTCCCTGAAACTGTTTGATTAGCCTCCTTCAGCCTCTTCCACCTCTTGACACACACAATTTGGAATTGGAGGTGGGGACTGGTGCCATTATTACGTTGAGAAAGTTGTTATTTAACGAGAAGAATGAGTTAAAAGAGAAGCTGCACCTTACAGACAGCCCTAATCCATCAACAACTGTAAAGCAGCACCTAAACAAGCAGATTTGGACTTCTGGCCAAACTGAGGTGTGTCTCAGTGGGTGCTTGACCAGGGTGTGCGTTGTGTTTGGCCCACAGACCGCTTTGTGAAACGCAAAAAGAAGGCAGCCGCGGCCGCAGGAGGAAAGAAGGGAGCTAAATATAGCAAGGACTATACGGAAGGCTGGGTGGAGTTCCGAGACAAGCGCATAGCCAAGCGAGTGGCAGCCAGTCTACATAATACGCCCATGGGCGCCCGAAAGCTCAGTCCCTTCCGTTATGACCTGTGGAACCTCAAGGTGAGATTCTAAGTTTCTCTGCCATTCTTTCATTCTTCCTTCTAGCTCTAGCCCAGGGCACCCCATCCTTCTTGCTAGATCTAAGCAGCTCCCAGTTTCTTCTGTTCTGGTCTTCCCTATCTTGACCTTTTCTTGTTTTCCTGCCCACACACAGTATTTGCATCGTTTTACTTGGTCCCACCTCAGTGAACACCTTGCTTTTGAGCGCCAGGTACGAAGGCAACGCCTGAGAGCAGAAGTCGCCCAAGCAAAGCGAGAGACTGACTTCTATCTTCGAAATGTAGAACAGGGACAACGCTTCCTTGCAGCTGATGGGGATGCTACTCGACCAAATAGCTCCTGGACATTTACTCAGCGTCCTACTGAGCAGGAGCTGAGGGACCGGAAAGCAGCACGGCCAGGAGGGCGGGAACGAGCTCAGCTGGCTACCATCCAGGACCAGGCCCGATCCAACCGAGGGCTCCTTGCCAGGATCTTTGGAGCCCCTCTACCTGCAGAGAGCAAGGAAGAACCATAGCCAGTAAGGGACTTCTGATGGAAGAAGAAACCAGTTCTGCCCCCTTCTGATCTGTCTCCTGCACAGTGTAACCATCTAGGCAGATGTTTTCTCTATTCCACAAACCAAGAGTCTGGTAAAAGGCCTTTTTTGTTGGTGTCTTTTACCTACTTTGACCAAATCCTGTAAGTGCCAGACTGAGAACCTTACTCGTCCTATCCAGGATAAAGACCACTGTAGGTGCCTTTTGCATTTTGTTTGATTTCTGATTGCCTGCCTCTTTCTCAGTGGGCACCTGATAGTTTCTGGCTGGAAGAGTGGACTTACCTTCCATTAGGGTAGTGGTCTGTGGTGTTTGTTCACTGTGGTGGGGGGCTGACTTAACAGGAATTGGATTAGTGGTCCAATTTGAGGTTTATATTTGAAAGTAAAAAATAATTTATTTTTATATGTTTTTTAGTTTTTCATTCAGTAAGTTTCAACTTCTTTTGAAGCCACACATGCCTCTCAAGTTACTTTAGCACAGGTATGATTCTTCTCCACCCATGAAACTCAGTTACTCGAGAGATACACTCCCAATGCTCCTGTATTAGTCAGGGTTCTCTAGAATCACAGAACTTATGGGTAGTCTCTACGTAGTAAGGGAATGTGTTGATGACTTACAGTCTGTAGTCCAACTCCCCATCAATGGTCAGCAGTAGCCGTGAATGTAAGTCCAAGGCCCTAGCAGTTGCTCAGTCCCACAAGGCAAGCAGGCGAAGAAGAGTCTTCCTTTTTCCAGTGTCCTTATGTAGATCTCCAGCAGAAGGCATGGCCCAGATTAAAGATGTGTACCACCACGCCTGGATCTAGGACTTGTTTTGTCCCAGATGACCTTGAACTCAAGAGATCTGCTTTCGGTAGTCTCCTGGGATTCATAGCCACTATGCCTCAAGGTTTCCATGCCAAGATCCAGGTCAAAAACTTGTGTCTCCCAGCCTCAAGATCAGGATCACAGGTGAGCCTTCCAGTTCAGGATTGTAGTTCACTCCAGCTATAGTTAAGTTGACAACCAGGAATAGCCACTACAATCTACCCCTTGTCAACTTGACACAAATAATTTGTCCACATGAAACAATACCAAGGTCATGAGTATGCCTAACATGATATAACTGTTCCTCATACAGACACAAGCACATTTGTAAATTTACAATGGGGCAGTGTCCCTTTTAGTAGCTCAATTTAAATGCCAATTAATGTTAAAGCAAATGGAAGAAAGACAAACGTGTTCTTAACAAAATAGAATAGAAACATTCATACTACTTTATAATCCTTGTTTCTGCAACTGTTTACGTGGCATTAGCTGGTATTTATAACTACCTTCCTCTGCCACCCATTCTGATTTCCTCCACCCTCGGCAAGCACCTCAGCAGGTCCAGCCTCTTTTCCTGGAGGAGTGACCCATGCCTTCATTCCTGAGGGGTCTGCATCCTTTGTCATCCTGCTTGGATTAGGCTGTTGTAGTTTCCCATTGACTTTAATCACAGGACATGGTAGTACTAAGAGATGCCCTAAGGGATCTCCTGCACTCCAGACATAATCCTTCTTACCTCCATTGTAGAGAGGCAATCCAGTTTCCCCATGGTAATCTGGATCTATCATCCCTCCTAACACTGTTATTCCGTTCTTAGCCTGTTGGTTCAAGGGCATTTGAAGCCCAAAATGACCAGGGGGAAATCTGAGCTTCCAGTTCAATGGAATGTTTGTTGTGGCTCCTGTAGGAGCGCACCCCCAACCCCAACACACACATACACTTAGAACCAAAAACGTCTAGGTCAGCAGAACCTAAAGTTGTGGGGACAAGAAGCAAAAATTTTCCTAGAGTGTCACTAGGTGTGATAGTGGAACTATTCCCTTTTCCACCTTTGATTCCTGGACCCATGGATCTTGGCTATGGGAGAAACTATACCATATATTGGATGCTGATTCAAAGCATTTACTGCCTTCTGAAGAACTCTGCCCCAGCCCTCCATCCTGCTGCCACCTAATTGACACTTCAAAAGGCCATTCCATCTTTCTATCACATCAGCTGCTTCAGGAAGGTATGGAACATGGTAAGACCAGTGGATTCCATGATCATAGGCCTAATGTCACACTTCTCTGGCTGTGAAATGAGTTCCTTGGTCAGAAGCAATACTGTGCAGAATACCATGACGGTCGATAAGGCATTCTGTCTGTGTATGGTGGTTTTAGCAGAAGCATTATGTGGAGGAAAGGCAAATCCATAACTAGAATAAGTACTCCAGTAAGAACAAAACGTCCTTTCCACGGAGGAAGTGGTCCAGTGTAGTCAACCTACTACCAGGTTGCTGGCTGGTCACCTCGAGGAATGGTGCAATATCTGGGGCTCAGTGTTGGTCTCTGCTGTTGGCAGACCTGGCATTCAGCAGCAGCTGTAGCCAGGTCAGCCTTGGTGAGTGGAAGTTCATGTTGTTGAGCCCAAGCATAACCTCCATCTCTGCTATCATGTCCACTTTGTTCATGTGCCCATTGAACAATGACAGGGATAGCTGGGGCAAGAGTCGGACTGTCCACAGAACGGATCGCCTTATCCACTTGATCATTGAACTCCTCCTCAGCTGAAGTCACCTGTTGATGAGCATTTACACGGGACACAAATATCTTCACATCCTTTGCCCATTTGAAGAGATCTATCCACACACTTCTTTCCAGATGTCTTTCTCACCAATTTTCCAATCGTGATCTTTCCAAGTCCCTGACCATCCAGCCAACCCATTGGCTACAGCCCATGAGTCAGTGAACAATCGCACATCTGGCCATTTCTTCTTCCAAACAAACTGTAACACCATGTGTACTGCCTGAAGTTCTGTCCACTGTGAAGATTTTCCTTCACCTGTATCTTTCAGGGTTGTCCCAGAAAGGGTTATAATGCTGCAGCTGTCCATTTCTGAGTGGTGCCTGCATAACATGCAGAACCATCTGTAAGCCAGGTCCTAATCTTCTCTTCTTCAGTCAGTCGATGATAGGGAACAGCCATGAGACTATAGGCACATGCTTGGCAGCAGATGGCATTGTAACGAGAGTAGAAGCCATAGGTATTTGAGCAACTTCTTTATGTAACTTGCTTGTGCCTTCAGGACCTGCTCGAATATATACCACTTCCATTAGATAACAGACTGTTGCTGTGCATGTCCCACTTTATGACTTGGAGGGTCTGATAACACCTAGCTCATGAAGTGGTCACTTCTAAGGTGAGCATCTTGCTTCTGTGGGGCCAAAGCACTGTCTTATCTCTGGAGTAGCTCCTCCTGTTTTACAGTAATTGTTGATGTTTTTACCCTGGTGTTATTAGTGTGAAGATCCAACGTTATCCTTGACTTGTTAGTCTTTCAGTTTGGTAAACAAATATTCACTAATTCTTTGAGTTGCTGTGAGGAGAGGTTTTATAAGAATCCTAAATAATACACTTTCTACACTCTACTACCTGTAATGTTTGCTTTGACAACCAGGTTAGGAAATGTCATCTACTTATGACAGTGATAAGGAGTGTCAGGAAGTTCTTGGTCTAAACAGTCACATAGCTAATAAAAGTCAGAATTACATCTTCTCCTGGGTCTCTGTTAGCCTACTCTGTCCACGTCAAGCCTCTTCTACAGGAACAATGGTAAGAACGGAGTGAAAGTTAAGGGGAAATATACTAATCTGTGGTTGGTCTGTGTGAATAGAGCCCAATAATGAAACAAAAACAAGTGACAAAAGCAAGTGTTGGCTGGACTTTGTACAAACCTCTAATCTCAGTACTTTGGAGGCAAGAGGTAGGTAGATGTCTGTGAGTTCAAGGCCAACCTGGTCTATATAGTGAGTTCCAGGACTGCCAGGGCTACATGGTGAGGAGGAAGTGGGGAGGAGGAGGAGGAAGAGGAAGAAGAGGAAAAGAAGGAGAAGGAAGAAGAGGAGGAGGAAAAGAAGAAGATAGGACAAAGTGTTTTTCAGGCTCAGAAAGTGCATTATGACTTCATTACTAGCTGTGGGATCTGTGGTGTGGAGTCACAGCCAAAGCTAGCGGACTCCTACTTGTAATGCAAAGTGGAGTCGTGTGCAGTTAAGGTCATTGTGCCCATACTTGCTGCATCTCAGTTGGCGATATGGACCATGGATTAGTTTATGTGAAGGCTATCCCTGGAAATTAGTTACAGACTGATGAGGGTTAAATATGAGGAAGAGTGCTTTCATTTTTTTTTATTTGTTTATTTGTTTAGTTTTTTCTTGACTAGGTTTCTCTGTGTAATCAACCATCCTGGCTGCTCTGGACCTTGCTTTGTAGTGTAGACTGGACTTGAACTCACGGAGATCTGCCTGCCTCTGCCTCCTCCACTGCCTCTGCCTCTTGAGTGCTGGGATTAAAGGAATGCACCACCACTGCCTATCCTTGCTCTTTTTTTTTTTTTTTTTTTGGTTTTTCTAGACAGGGTTTCTCTGTGTAGTCCTGGCTGTCCTGGAACTCACTCTGTAGACCAGGCTGACCTCGAACTCAGAAATCCGCCTGCCTCTGCCTCCCAAGTGCTGGGATTAAAGGCGTGCACCACCACTGCCCAGCTCCTTGCTCTTTTTTTAAAATTGGTTTTTTTTTTTAAATTTCTTATGTGTATGAGTGAGTATGCTCATGTATGTCTGGCACAGTGGACATTACATCCCCTGATGTTGACAGTTGTGAACTGCCATGTGAGTGTTAGGAGCCCAGGTCATCAGGAGGAGCATAGATCCCAATGACATCAGGAGACACTGCAGTAGCCACTGTCATTTCTGTCCCCAGATTTGTGGGTGTGACAATAAAACCACCTCATTTAAGCTGCTTACTGCTGAAAGCTTCCTAGGCTAGCTCTCTCATAACTCAGTATTGGAACATTATGTCCCAATCCTCTGATCTACCTCATGAAAACTTTGAGTCAGTGCTGGAGTAGGGTAAGTTTATGAGGGAGGCCAGCCTCTTTCCTTGGTCTCCTCAATAAAATAATTTAGAAAGAGACTCCAGAGTCCAGCAAAAGTGTTCATTTAAAAGCTCAAGTGTATGTTGGGTAGCAGGAGGGCAACCTCAGGTGGGGATTGAAGATTCAAAACACCTAGAACTGACAGATTTAGGTAAGGTGTGGTATCAGCCACAAAGACCAGCAGCATTTCTAAACACTAGCCACAAAATGCCTGAAAAAGAATTTACAGTAGCTACAAAATAGAAATAATGCATTTATTCAGCAGGTTAAAAACTATAAAACGTTTAAAAGGGCGTGAAAACAATGAAAGAAATTATAGCATTTCTGCAAAAACAAAACAAAAAACCCCCAACTCCACAAAACTGGAGTCATCATACTATCTGACTCAGAAATATAGCCTACAAAGTTATGGTAACCCGAACACTATAGTATTGACATCATATGTAGACCAATGAAATAGATCTATGAATGGAAAGTCAATTCATTCTTCAGACAGTTGTTAAGGTATAGCCGGTGTGCATGTGTGAGTGTCCATGTGTGAGTGTGTGTTTCTATGATTGATTCGTGCTTGCAACCCCAGTATCAAGAGACTGAGGCAGGAGGATTGACCAAACTTGGGCTATATGGTGAGTTTTAGGTCATATTGGGGTATTGGGTGAAACTTTCTAAAAACAAAACAACAAAACCTAAAAGAGAACAAAAATGTGAGGGCACAACAGGGAAAGAATACACTATTCAATACACGGTATTGAGATCTGGATATCTGCATACAGAAGAATGAAACTGAGTGCATCTCACACACCAGAAGGGGAATACCAAATGTATTAAAGAAAACTTCCAGAAGAAGGCACAAGGGCAAAGCACCATTGTACAAGTCTGGCTGTGGTTTTGGATGCATTTTAAAAACACAGGCTACCAAAGCAAAGACAGAAAACACAGCTCCTTACCCAGAACCACAAGCTTCTGCACAGTGAAGCAAGCATACAAGCAACAGAGACCTAGGAAGTGTACAGAGTAGGAGAAAGCATGGAAAAAAAACCACACATCACATGGGAGTTGATGCCCAAATATACACAAAGCACCATAGGTAGAAAACAAATAGCCTGACATAATGGAGAAAAAAAAATCAGGTTGTATGTTTTTCAAAGAAGACAAAGAATAAACTAATCTATGAAAATGTGCCCAACTCATGAATGACCAGGAAAATGAGACTCAGAGCCCAGTGAGTTTACCTCACTCCTGTCCTCCAAAAAGGGCTATCCATCCTCAAATATAGAAAAGAGCCAGTGTTGGTGAGTTGTGGAAAAAAGAGGATGCTTGCACAATTTTGGTGATTAAAATTATTACAGCCATGAGAGGTACTAGTATGACAATTCCTCTACAAATTTAGCAATAGAGAACATTGCCAGTCGTGGGCTTATGTTTGCTCTGTTCATGATAATGAATGAATGTTTTCTGAGACACTAGTGTCTTCACATTCAAGATTACTCATAATAATGCAAGATACAAAATCAAGCCACTGTCCATCAATGAACAGATGAAAACACAGCAGACACACATAAAACATTAGTTACTCTTTCCTTTATAAAGAGGCTCTGTCACTTCCCACCACTAGGATGAAGAAGCTGAGGACATGGAGTCCAATGAGGTAAACCAGCCACAGAGGGAGAAATTCACTGACAGTGTGCGATCTCAGTGCTCAGGCGTCAGTAGCAGAGTGGCTCACCAAAGGCTACGGGTGGAGTACCAACAACCACCTTGATTATTTTGATTTAGTTGGCCCATAATACAAGTAAATACAACGAACGCTAACCCCAAGCCGGTTACTAGGCACGTTTTGAATGCATGTCTTGAAAATAGGAAATTTTGATACCCATGGCTGTTTCCGTAGTGTAGTGGTCATCACGCTCGCCTAACACGCGAGAGGTCCCCGGTTCGAAACCGGGCGGAAACATTATTAGTTTTCTCACTTTCTTGTGTGGTTTTAACACTCAGTTCACTCCCTACATTTTAGCTTTGACCGGTATGGTTTCCTGAACCTTAACCATAGCAAATATCTTGTGTAAGGACCACTGCAGGCACTTGACATAAAAGAAAGTGCAAAAGACCGCCTCCTTGTCTTGGGGAATTAGCTCAAATGGTAGAGCGCTCGCTTAGCATGCGAGAGGTAGTGGGATCGATGCCCACATTCTCCATTTATTATGTTATCTTGCACACCTCGGTTTCACTAACAGCCTGATGCTCCAACAGCTTCACACGTATTCAACTCCACACATTACGGATTAAAAATTACCTTCATTAGCTTTCCTCTCATACTTTAAGCATAAACTTTAGTGCGCCCTTCACCACATTCTGACTTTCCATTTTCTCATATCCACATCATGCTCTCGTGTGTTCATTTGACAAATGCTTCTGAGCGTCTAGCTTTGATTCCTTACTCAACAGACACTGGATCAAAACCTATTCTGTGCAAATAGGTTTAGGCTTTTTTCCTTAAACCACGCTGTGCTGTATGTTCTTTTGCCCGCCTCTCTGGAATCTTTCTTTTCCTCGTACATCTCTGCTCACTCAACCGTGTTATTGGAGGGTGGTTCTGCTCCTCACGGTTGACTTCCACTCCGCATGAGTGGGATGTGGTACCTTCCGTACAAGTCTCAATTTTCCATGTCTAAGCTCTGTAAAAAACAAACACAAAACAAAAACAAAACAAACAAACAAACCCAGAGCCATCTGCTCGGGTTCTTCCAAAAGCTCTCCAGCGTTTACATCGCTGTCCTCGATGTCTCCAGGTGATCAGGCTCTCCCAACCTCCTGCCCTCTGTGTGTTTTACTCACAAGCGATTCTCCTGCGGTGAAGCGCTGCGACTCAACGTCTCAATCCCTACTCCCTCGCTTCTTCCTTTGCTGAGCTCTCTTCCCCGCCGCGCCGCCTGAGGAACTTTTTTTTTTTTTTCTTCCCTCTGCCAGGATCTCGCCTCTTCTCCGTGATTTTTATTTCTGGTTTGTGTCATTCCTTGTGGTTCTTTCCATTAGTGTAGATCTACAACCTCTCCATCACACTTTATACAATATCTGTCTTGCTTTATAGAATTAGAAGTTTAAAAAAAAAAAAAAGCTTGCTTGTCCTGTTTCCAAAGTGTAGTGGTTATCACGCTCGCCGCACACGCGAGAGGTCCTCGGCTCGAAACCAAGTGGAAACATTAATATTTTATGCTCCCAGTCACAGAAGAAAATTCACAAAATCCAACGATTAACCCTGCCACCTGCCCACGACTCTAACAGAGAATGCGCTCCACGAGCACCTTTATCAAGGCGGCTGGAACATCTTGAAGTAGACACTTTTTAACCTATCTAACCTGAGGTGGACTATCTAACCTGAATCCCTCCCCGTAGACTATCCGGATTTCGCACTAGATTTCTTTCTGCTCCGGAATGTGAAACCAGATTCTGGACTGCCCCCCCCCCCCCCCCCCCCCCCCCCCCCCCCCGCCCCCTTATCTGGTCCATTAGTAGAAGACTCGTCCTAGTTAGTAGTGCCTCACAGCTGAGGACCAATTCCGAGGCCCTGGAACAGGGAACCAAGAGAAGTGACCTTTAGGCTACAGCTGGGTGAGGGTGAGAATAAATGAATGAATGTTGGGGCTGGGAATGGCGGGAAGGGCAGTGCTGGGGTCGGGGTGGGGGTGGACTCCCGGTTCAGGTTCAGAGACAGAATCGGCAGACTGACTTCCTCACTTGGTTCCTAAAGGTGAGGAATCTTCCAACCTATACAAGTAAGGCAACAGCAGTGTCTGGACACACAGCTCATTTGCAGGCTTCTTTGCTTGTTTAAGTGCTGGAACACACATAGCCTAGTCGGGCCAAGGAGCCTGCTCCCTCTGTGTCTAGAGATGTGGTCACAGGTTTCAGCATGCACCAAGAAAAGAAAGGTCATAAAATGAAGAGTGTCATTGTGAATAAAAGAACAGAGAGCAGAAAATTAGCCAGTTTAGCTGAACAAGACTTCAAAAAGAAGATGTAAGGTAGACAATGATCTGTTTCTTGGTAAATACAAATTGTCATAAGCTAAGCATAGGGAAAAATTTGCTACAGTAGACTGGCTTGCGTAAACTTTGTTAATCTATGACAAAAGGATTATTGTGGGGACTGGAGAGATGGCTCAGCAGTTACAAGCACTGCCTTCTCTTCAGAGGTCCTGATTAAATTTCCAGCAACCACATGGTTGCTCACAACCATCTATAATGGGGTTTGATGCCCTTTTCTGGCATGCAGGTGTACATGCAGATAGAGTACTCATACATTAAAAATAAATCTTAAAAAAAAAGAAAAAAGATTGATTGCTGTGCGGTTATGATGAACTTGTGGAGAAAAAGATGGAAAATGTTCGTTAGGTGTGAGTTTCTTTTTTTTTTTTTTTTTTTTTTTTTGTTGGTTTGTTTTTTCGAGACAGGGTTTCTCTGTGTAGCCCTGGCTGTCCTGGAACTTACTCTGTAGACCAGGCTAGCCTCGAACTCTCGAACTCAGAAATCCACCTGCCTCTGCCTCCCAAGTGCTGGGATTAAAGGCGTGCGCCACCACCGCCCGGCTAGGTGTGAGTTTCAAAAGAAAAATATGTAATCAGTAATCCTGTTATAATTTCCTCCTGTGTAATGATCTTAATCTGTTTTTTTTTTTAATTTTTATTTATTTATTATATGTAAGTACACTGTAGCTGTCTTCAGACACCCCACAAGAGGGCATCAGATATCATTGCAGATGGTTGTTAGCCACCATGTGGTTGCTGGGATTTGAACTCGTGACCTCTGGAAGTACAGTCAGTGCTCTTAACCACTGAGCCATCTCACCAGCCCCTTAATCTGTTTCTGAATAAAATGTTTTTATGGTGGTTGTTTTTAAAGAATACGTAACCTGTGGCTATGACGTAATTTTCTTCTTATATAGAAAACTTTGTCTTAGTGGGTATAAAAGGGTTAAGAGAAAAAATAAAGTTGTTGGCGCTTGTTTCATCAATCGTCTGTGTGTGTGTGTGTGTGTGTGTGTGTGTGTGTGTGTGTGTGTGTGT